GAGAGAGAGAGAGAGAGAGAGAGAGAGAGAGAGAGAGAGAGAGAGAGAGAGAGAGGTGACACCCCTAACACCCCAGCCTAGAAAATTACAGGAAGGCTCGTAGAGACTGCACATACAAGATCCCTCCTCCTGACTTCCCAAAATCCTAACATCTCACCATAGTTGGTAAGATGCTGGTAGCACCTGACTCTCCTAATGTGACAGACAGCAAGACTGTCCTCAGACACCCTCAGAATCTCCTGGGAGATTCTTTCTAGTCTGTTGGTTACACTCTGTTCATTTCCATTCAAATACTGCATTCATCTTATTATTGACTCTGTGACCTTAAATGCATTAATAACACAATCTCTGAAAGTTCAGGCTCCCCTCTCTATACTAGAAAAGTGAGTATCCTATGTAAAAGGCTTGGTGGTAACTTAATAAGATAACATAGGAGAAGCATTAGAATGCCTGGACTAGATGCAGTGCTGTTGCCGTGGAGAAGACGCACATGGTGTTTCATAATGAAGAACATCCATCCTCTTTTACAACAGGGGTCTAAGGCCTCTGCTTATAGGATGATTCTGTAAACCCAAACCATCTGAGTCAGGGTTAGTGTGGAGCAGATACGTGGGATTTACAAAGGTGGAGATCAGTGGAGGAGACGTTTGAAGCCCCAGGAAAGCCAAGTACCGCCCACCACCCTCTTCCTGACACACAACTGTCTTCCAATGTGCTGAAGTCCCACCATGGCGAGACACACCCTCCATTCTAGCCGGCCCACAGCCCTAGTCCCAAGTAGTGGGTCTCTCATTCCTTCCCCAAGAGCTCTTCTCCCTGTCCTCTGTTGTAGGGGCTGGAGACAGCACCAAGAGCAACCTGGAGGACGTCCTTTCCTACCCCAAGGACTTTGCCTGTGTCCACCAGGCTCTGAAAGCCTTTTCATCCAAAGGTGTCACTTCTGTGTCCCAAATTTTCCACAGCCCGGGTGAGTGTGTCGGAGTCCGGAGGAGGGGAAAGAGGAATGGTACTGAGGATGGGTAAGAGCAGGCGGGGACACAGCAGGAGTTTCTGGTGGCTCCAGGGGCGGGACTCTCCCTCCCTGTGAGACCTGGGCAAATCATGTGCATTTCTCCATTCTTTGGACTAAGAGAGACTATGTATCTGTTAACCACAGGGCTAGAGGTTAGATGTTAGAAGCATAAAGTCGCCAAAAGATATTTTTGCTAAGTTTTAGGTCAAGGGAGTCTTCAGATTCATCTTTTGTACTTTTGTGTTATACGAATTTGTTATCATTTACATGTTTATGTTAGGTAGATAGTACCAGTAAATAATATAATAATGATAAACAATCAAAGCAGCAGATGATAAGGAGGAACCTCACAAATGATCTGACGCAGTTGTTTCTAAGCCTGGGACCCTCCAGTTGGCCTTTTCTGCAGAGCTGCTCAGGATTGGGTGGGGGTAGGAGGCACCCTTCACTTCCAAAGGTTAAAAAACACAGAGTTCGTCTAACACCTCTCTTTTGGGTTTTTGGTGTTTTTTTTAAAATATTTGTTTATTTATTTATTTACTTATTATGTATGTTGTGTTCTGCCTGTATGTCTGCCTGCAGGCCAGAACAGGACACCAGATCTCATTACAGATGGTTGTGAGCCACCATGTGGTTGCTGGGAATTGAGCTCAGGACCTCCGGAAGAGCAGTCAGTGCTCTTAACCTCTGAGCCATCTCTTCAGCCCTCTTTTGGGGTTTTGTTTGTCTGGTTCGTGTTGGTTTTTTGAAATAGGGTCTCGCTATGTCGCCCAGGCTGGCTTCAAACTCCGGTTCTCCTCTGGCATCAGCCTCCTGAGTGCTGGAATTCTGTGCTACCACACGAGGCTTCATCCCTACGCCCACTTTTTCTCATGCGCTTTTCCCTTCTTTCTTTTGTAAGAAAGCATTTTTCTCCCATTTTTCCCTTCTTCTTTGTGGTACTGGGGATTAAGTCAGGGCTTTCTGCAGCCCACTCCAGTGCCTCCACTGGACTGCATTCCCAGCCCTCTTCCTCTGCTTACTTATTTCCTGAGATTGCCCTCTCTGTAGCCTCAAGTTTTTATTTTTTCCAAGACAAGATTTCTCTGTGTAACAGTCCTGGCTGTCCTGGAACTTGATCTGTAGACCAGGCTGGCCTCAAACTCACAGAAATCAGCCTGCCTCTGCCCCAGAGTGCTAGGATTAAGACTTGGGTTTTGGAGATTATCTGGTCTAGGTTGCTGAAATTATAGCCATGTGATATTGTGCTTGGCTTTCCCTTTCCTTCCCCCGCCCCCCATGAAAGTCATAGTTATAGAAAACTGAGAAGGGGCTGGAGAGATGGCTCAGAGGTTGAGAGCACTGACTACTCTTCCAGAGGTCCTGAGTTCAATTCCCAGCAACCACACGATGGCTCACAACCATCTGTAATGAGATCTGGTGCCCTCTTCTGGCCTTCAGGCATACATGGAGGCTGAACATTGTGTACATAATAAATAAATAAATTTAAAAAAAAAGAAAACTGAAAAAAATACAGGGAAGGAAAAAATAAAGAAAAAAGGAAAAGAGATTGCCTCAAATCTTAATTCTCCCTCCTGTCTCTTTCTCTCTCTCAACAAGATCTCATTCTGTGGTCATAGTTAGCTGGACCTCCCTATGTGAACTATGCTGGCTTTCAAATACAGAGATCCTCATGCCTCTGCCTCCCAAGTTTCTGGGTTAAGGGCATGCTCCGCCATGCCTGGCATTAAAATGTATCTTTTTGATATGAATATATATATATGCATATATATATATATATATATATATATATATATATATATATATGAATCAGAGGTTTCGCTACATACTGCATTCCTTACCTACTTCCGACCAGTGGTGTCTTTTGTCCCATTCAGCTAATGGACAATTCCACTATATTCAATATTTTAGGGCTGCCTGTATCCCATCCATCCACATCCATAGTTCTGCTAAGGTTCTGGGTTTTAGGCTGCGTGAAGCAGCAGCCAAGCCTGGAGAAATACCTTGATCTATTTAGTCCAGTGAAACAATATATTCTTCCAAGCACTCATTTTCTCCAGTGGACTTGGGCGGTGAGAGCAAGAGTCAGGAAGTCTCATAATGAACTTCCCCTGAGGCTTGAAAGTAGGGTCTATTCCTGCTGCGTAGGGAAAGGACAGAGGGGCAAGTCAGGTGCAGGCTACTCCACTGGGGGCTGTCTAGCCGAGCTCTCTCCACCAGCAAGCAGAAGCAGCAGGGGTGCTAGGAATTCTTAGTGAGGGATGTTTTCTTAAGTCTGATTTGCATAGAATTCATTTGCATACAGTAGAGGTGTGGGCTGGTCCCTGCTCCAGTAAAATGCTGGAGTGTTCATTGGAGTGAGCAGGAAGAGCCATGGGAACCCCACCAGATGTGATGGGTGTTTAATCCCTGAGCTTGGGAGGCGAAGGCAGGTAGATCTCTGTGAGTTCCAGTTTGGTCTACCTGAGTTCTGGGCTAGCCAGAGCTCCGTACCAAGACCCTGTCTCAGGAAGCACAAACAAGGTGAAAACACGAGAGAAGTGTGTTCACTCTCAGACTGGCTCTTTGAAGGCGGGTGGGATTGTTGTGGGGGGTGGGGATTCACCCTTCTGTCCCGCCCCTCAGACCTGACTGTCAGGGACACCTACGTGAATGCCTCTCAGACCCTTTATGGAAGCAGCCCCAGAGTCCTAGGCCTGGACAGTGATGCTAACTTAGAACTCATCAACACCTGGGTGGCCAAGAACACCAACCACAAGATCAGCCAGCTGCTGGACAGCCTGCCCTCTGACACCCGCCTTGTTCTGCTGAATGCTGTGTATCTGAGCGGTAAGGAAAGCATCCGGCAGGCAGTGTGCGTCACGGGGTTCTACCTCCCACCCCGCGACTGTCCTACCCTGCCCTCACAGGGCCTACAACGCCTTTCTTGTCCCTACCTGCGTTACAGCCACCCTTTCTTCCTTTAGCCAAATGGAAGAAACCATTTGAGCAAAAAACTCAGAAGTCACCTTTCCTCTACAAAAACTCTGTGATTAAAGTGCCCATGATGAGCAGCAAAAAGTACCCTATGGCCCACTTCAGTGACCAGACTCTGAAGGCCAGGGTAAGTCCCTGACTCCTCCCATTCCTGCTTCAGGCATATGATCGCCCTGACTTCCTTGCTGCAATGGCCCTATCATGGTGGAGTGCCTGCTTGCAAAATCTCCATTTCTGTTTCTCCCACCTTGTAGTCCCACCCTCTTTTCTCCTCCTCCACTCTCTAGTTTTGGAGACAGGGAAGTTTAGGCTGAAAGACACGAGTCTAGACATGATTCTAAAGTTTCTTCATTCATCTTTACTGCACCAAATGGCAAAAAGTCAGTCTTTTTTTTTAAATTCTGTGCATCTCTCTCTCTTAACCCCCACTCCGGGTACACTGGTAGCTTACTGTGTCATCTGTGTGTGTACACTTTTGTGCAGTATGCATGTGCATAAGAATGCTTATATAGGTATCGCTCTGTGTGTGCAGATATGTGTTAAGTGTGTGTATACACAGGTGTTGAATTAATTTTTTTTCTGTTTTTTTGGAGACAGTGTTTCTCTGTGTAGCCACTGGCTGTCCTGGAACTCACTCTATAGATCAGACTGACCTGGAACTCAGAGGTCCACTTGCTTCTGCCTGCCAAGTGCTGGGATTAAAGGTGGATGCCACCACGACAGGCTAAATTAAATTCTTTAACAGAAATTGAACAATATAATTCTAGTGGGTAGGGAGAGAGAAAGGAAAGAGTATGGAGCTCAAGCAGGGCTTGATGGTTCATACCTTTAACCCTAGCTCTCTAGAAGCAGAGGCAGATAGTTTTCTGTGAGTTCAAGGCCAGCCTAGTCTATATATAAAGTTCCAGGATAGCCAGAGCTATATAACAGAAAGATACTGTCGCCAACAGAAGAAGAATATGGAGCCCAAAAGATTCTAGGTAGTAAATTCTCCCATGCCCAATGACTAAGCATTCCTGTATCTCTGTGTCTTGGGGAAGGTTTTTTGAGCCAGCATTCTATATCCATGGTGCATCCATGGACAGAAAACATTTGAGGAAAAAAATATACTGAACACGCACAAAGTTTTTCCTTGTCATTATTCTCTAAACAATATGGTATAGCACCTATGGGGTCTAATTATACAGGCCATATTCCTAATGGCATGGCAGTCATAATTCTGAGCAACCTGGCAAGGCACAATTTGCACCTTCCACACAGAAAGTGGTCACCTGGCCTTTAATAGTGAGACAAACTAACGCCACCCAAAACAAATGGTCAGGATATGCTGGTGCCATTCTGGTCTGGTCCTTCTATTGTAATGTGGGGAGCTGCCTGGGGAAGAGGTGTTTCTTAGTCTGTGTGACAGAGTGGGCATAGATAGTTATGGACGTGACCTAACTCATTCTTCCCCGCTACCCAGGAAACAGAAAGCTAATGAACTTCTCAGTTTACCTTTTGATATAAAAGCTGTTTGGATGATAAACGCAGGTGATTTTCAGAATGTAAATTCAGGACTTCATAAAGAATCCCTAAAAACTCCCTCCCAATATAGTTGTGTGAGTTGTGGTTTTATTCCCATACCTCCACTCTGGTATGAGAAATAATTTAGGTCTGGGCTGGTCCCGGACTCCAACACCGTATTAGAAGCAAGCTAGAGATAATTTGAAGTATAAGAGAAACAGGGCTTAAATAAATTACATCTCAAGCACAGTTGGTAGAGCGTTTTGCCAGGCTGTGGGTTTGATTCCCGGCACCTCATAGAAGTAACTGTGGTAGTATAGACCTGTGATCCTAGCTTGTAGGAGGTGAAAACAGAAGGATCCAAAGTTTAGGGTCAGCTGGGTGGTGGCAGCGCACGCCTTTAAGTCCAGCACTCGGGAGGCAGAGGCAGATGGACGTCTGTGAGTTCAAGGCCAGCCTGGTCTACAAAGCAAGTTCCAGGGCAGCCAGGACTACTGTACAGAGAAACCCTGTCTCAAAAAACGAGGAGGGTGGGGGGAGGAGGAGGATTAAGAAGATATTTCAGGGTCATCTTCTATTAGTTTAAACCCATCCTGGGTTGCATAAGACTCTATTGAAGGAAGGAATGGAAGGAGGGAGGGAAGGAGAGAGGAAGGAATGAAGGGAGGATGGGAAGGAAGACAAATCCTACTCTTGTTATTACATAGCTAGTCAGGGTATGATCCAAAACTTGTGCTCATACCTCGGGCTCTCACCAGGACTGGTGCACTTTAGTCTGATCGACTGGTATCCCCACTTCATGGCACATCATGGCAGTCAGATTTGGCTGGTGCTTGTTGAACGAGTCTATACTAAAAGACAGTCTTGAGGAACAGGGCACGGGGTGGGAGAGCTCATACAGTGCATCTCGTTCTCTCTAGGTGGGACAGCTGCAGCTCTCTCACAACCTGACGTTTGTTGTCATGGTGCCTCAGAGCCAGAAGCACAAACTTGAAGACATGGAGGAGGCTCTCACCCCCACTGTCTTTAAGGCAGTCATGAGGAAGCTGGAGCTGTCCAGATACCAGTCCACCTACCTGGTAATGCCTCAGATAAAAGTGAAGAGCAACCAGGACATGCTGTCAATCATGGAGAAGATGGGTGAGTCCTGGCCAGGAGAAGCAGGGGGAAGGCGGTGCTCCAATGTTGCCAACATGCTAGAGCGTTTCTTCTTCACCTGTATCAGAAACTTACTCCTCAACCATGTGAGCTAAAGGACCAGGGCTTTATCCCATGAGATCATTGAGAAAACAAGCTCAGAGACTATCTGTGACTTACCCAAAGTTTGCATGTCTTACCTGTGAACTAACTGGAGTCAAGCCCAAATGGAGGTCCAGACCTCTAGCTCTCTGGGATATTTCTACTGGGGTTCCCTGGAACAGGTGACCCAGATGGACTATGGACATTCACTTCCTGGCCATAGTCACTAATTTGTTTGTTTGTTTTTCGAGACAGGGTTTCTCTGTGAAACAGTCCTAGCTGTCCTGGAACTCACTCTGTAGACCAGGCTGGCCTTGAACTCACAGAGTTCTGCCTGCCTCTGTCTCCCAAGTGCTGGGATTAAAGGTGTGTGCCACCACTGTCTGGCCACATTCACTAATCAGATCCATCTAGATATGTATGAGTCTGGGGTTTCTGAGTTTAGGGGAGACTTTAGAAGCACCCCTTTCTAACCTTTGACATCATCCCTAGCTAGATCTGTGGCTCATTCCTGTTTTGACAACTTGATCACCTAATATATAATCTGATTTCCTAAAACCAGGATCAGAAGCTAAATAATAGACTGAAAGAGATGCCTGTTACCCCTGCTGCTGAGGAATTGTGAGGACTTTAAAACAGAGATCAAAAAACAAATATTAGCTGGGTGGTGGTGGTAATCTATGCCTTAATCCCAGCACTTGGGCAGAGGCAGAAGGATCTCTATGAGTTTGAGGCCAGTCTGGTCTACAGAGAGAGTTCCACCAGGGCAGTTACACAGAGAAACCCTGTCTCGAAAAACAAAATAAAATAAAATAAAATAAAAACCCTTAAATATCAAGACAAAATGTGCTGCCGGCGTGTCTGTTGCTAAGGAAATATTAGGGTTCTAGGAGTTCTTTATCAGGAATTTAGGGTAGAGACCAGTAAATATTTCTATCAGTATATATTTCAGTATATAGCATTTTTGTCAGTATATATTTCTGTCCGTATATATTTCAGTGTATAGCATTTCGGTCAGTATATATTTCGCTATATAGCATTATACCTTCACGTGATCTCATTTTATTTTTTTTATATTTATTTTTATTATGTATACAATATTCTGTCTGTGAGTATGTCTGCAGGCCAGAAGAGGGCACCAGACCTCATTACAGGTGGCTGTGAGCCACCATGTGGTTGCCGGGAATTGAACTCAGGACCTTTGAAGAGCAGGCAATGCTCTTAACCACTGAGCCATCTCTCCAGTCCCATGATCTCATTTTATAGCATATTATTTATCTCTATTTATTTCTCAAAGTCCTTGGAGACAAGGAAGTAATATTCCATTTTTTCAGGGGAGACTGGGGGGGCAGAGAGTGAGGCCTCTTGACTCTTGAGAGTGGTTGATGGTTGGGCCTGATAACAAAGGTTCCCCCTTAGAAGACCAGGAGGCAATGACTTAGAGACTGAGAAGGAAGAGACTGGAGGGATTTGAGACTAACCCAGGAAATTTAAGAACAGAATCTCCACCCACCAAGAGTTCCCTGCTGATCTCGGTTTGTTTGTTTTGTTGTTTTTCCGAGGTTTCTCTGTGTAGCCCTGGCTGTCCTGGAAAGAGCTCTTGTAGACCAGGCTGGCCTCGAACTCACAGAGATCCACCTGCCTCTGCCTCTCGAGTGCTGGGATTAAAGCCGTGCGCCACCACCGCCCGGCTCCTACTGACCTCTGATTTTGTTTTTCTCTTGTTTTGTCTCAGACTTCTTTGACTTCTCTGATGATCTCAACCTGTGTGGGCTGACCGACGACCCAGCTCTTCAGGTGTCTTCCATGAAGCACCAGACGGTGCTAGAGCTGACAGAGACGGGCGTGGAGGCCGCTGCGGCCTCAGCCGTCTCTGTGGCCCGAAACTTATTCATCTTTGAGGTTCGGCAGCCCTTCCTCTTCCTGCTCTGGGACCAGCAACACAAGTTTCCAGTCTTCATGGGCCGGGTGTACGACCCCAGGGCCTGAGACAGGCAGGAGTCGGGCTCGAATCAGCCGGCCTACCCAGGCTTCCACTTATCCCGTGATTGCCTTCCCTGGCCCCTTCCAGCCTTAGGATTGGGCAGAGGGAACTGTTTTCATCCTCAGCCCCCATGGCACCGACATGCTCTCTAAACCACTTTTTGCAGCTTTATGGGTCGAGTTTACCAGACTCTACAAATAAAACTTGCAGACATTTCTTGCCTCTGGGTTTTAGTCGCCTCGATATCAGTGAGCAGGAATCAGTACGCTTCCTGCATCGCCTACCTGCTACTGTGTAACAAGCCACTCTACACTTAGGGCTTTCAATCGTGGACCATTTCTTATGTCCCCCTAGTCTCAGGATTGCCCAGGGGCCTTGCGGAGCTGGCTAGGTTAGCTTCCCTGGGCATATGGGTGCATCTCCCGTAGTTAGTGGGTTAGTTGGGGGATGGCTGGTTTCTGATGGCCTTGGGTGACACTTTTTGGCACGTGTGTCTCTAATGTCCTGCCACCAGGATGACCTCTGTTGTAAGAGCACAACCTCTTTCTCTCACTTCTGCCTGCATCAAGCTTAGTATTTTTCTGTCAGCAGTTGACATGGAGAACTCTCAGATTTAGAGTGAAAAGCCACTATGAAATTATGGGATAAACAGCCATTAATTGAGGACCACAAATGCAATTTATCTGTCATAATCCTTATCTTGATTATTTGCCAAAAAAAAACAACAAAAACAATATAAAAAAAAAGGTGCTGAAGAGATGGCTCAGCGGTAAAGAGCAATGACTGCTCTTCCAGAGGACCCGGATTCAGTTCCCCCTGGATGCCTGACACCCTTTCCCTCCACAAGTACTAGGTATGTACCTGGAGTACAGACTTACCTGCAGGGGAAAACCACCAATGCACTAAACAGAAAATAAATTTTAAGATGTGGCAGTAGCAACAGCAATGAACGAGGTGGGGGAATGGTCGTAGGATTCTGCCAGGAGTTTTGCAGACATGGAATTGCTCCAGCGGCTTGGCCTGGCTCACTGGGGCTGTTCAAAGTCTTTGTGGAAAGTTTTCTCCTGGGCATGGTGGCATGGACCTGCAATTCCAACATTCTGTAGGCTAGCCTGGGCTACATAACAAGACTGTCTTTTAAAAAGTACAGCAAAAATGTTTCCTCTCTCCGCCTCCAAATTTGGTCTTGTTTGTTTGTTTGTTTTGTAGGCTGTACTCCTCAACTCCTTGATGTCTCAGTGTTCACCTCTCCTTGCGCCCCCCTCCCACATCCTTCCTCATGCCATCTTTCTATCTCTGTGTCTCCCCATCCCTCCCGGATTGAGTCCATTAGCTTCCCTGGCTGATGAGGTGAAGGACCCACACATCAGCCTGGATGCAGCCGCTTTCCCAGCTCTGCCCACACACACCTTCGACTTCAGGTTCCCATCCATTAACAGCCTAGAGGTCATGTATTCCCTGGCGTCTATGCACGGAGCTGTCACTCCACAGACAGGTACTGAGCATCTTCCACATATGGTGAAGATTTAACCCTAAGGTTAAGCCAGGCTGCTTGAGATAGTTCTAGGTATGGAACCATAGCGGATGGCCAGGATACACACACACACACACACACATGCACACACACACACACACACCGCTGTTGCCCCACATTCCAGAAACTTCTGCCATCTTCAAAATCTATCTTCCCCACTCCCTCCTTCCAGAAAATCTTCTATAAGACGCTGAGACACTTGGGAAGCAGCTGACAGAATAGCATGTCACCTAACCTAACGGTACTGTACCCAAACTTGAAGCTCTTATCCTTTGGGCTTGTCCCTTTCTCCATGGTGCTGAGCTGGGGATGCCAGGCTCATGGCTAAATGCAGGATATAAGGTTGCCTAAGCTTCCAGTAACCCTTGGCAAGATAAGTTTAGCATGGGTCTTGGTAGCTGTCTTGGTTTTTTTGAGTAGTTTGTTTTGCTTTGCCAGACAGGGTTTCTCTGTGTAGCCAGAAATCATTGAATAAACCAGACTGGTCTCAAACTCCGAGACCTGCCTGCATTGCTGGGATTAAAGGTGTGTGCCACCACCGTCCAGACTGGTCTCAGGCTCCGAGACCTGCCTGCATTGCTGGGATTAAAGGTGTGTGCCACCACCAGCTTTCAAGGCCTCTTGACTATGAAGTCAGGAAGAAAATTAGCAAAGTCCTGCTTAATTCCACTGATCAGCTGATCAACAGGCCAGCTCAAATTCATGAAATAAGGACAGAATCTCTGCCTCTTAAAGACAAGACCCCTGAAGTCACTCTGCAGAGAGCGTGCATGTAAGAACACACAAATCATTCTCGCACATTTTCAGTCTGTCTAAATGGTTGTTTGACTTTCAGCAACTCTCCCCAGCAGGCTGTTGCTCTGAGTTTTTCCTCAAGAAAACCAGGGAGAAAGCTGGGCAGTGGTGCACACCTTTAATCCCAGCACGTGGGAGGCAGAGGCAGGTGGATCTCTGTGAATTCAAGGCCAACCTCGTTTACAGAGTTCCAGGACAGCCAAAAGGCTACACAGAGAAACCCTGTCTAAAAGAAAGGAAGGAAGGAAGGAAAGAAGAAAGGAAGAGAGAGAGAGAGAGAGAGAGAGAGAGAGAGAGAGAGAGGCAGGCCAAGAAGATGGTTTAGCAGCAGAAAGCACAAGTCTGATGACCTAAATTCAATCCCCCAATTCGATAGTAGAAAGAGAGAAACAACTTTCATAACATGCCCACACCACACACATACACATACTGTATATACACATACACATACCATATATACACATACATACACACATACCATATGTACACACACATACCATACATACACACATACATACACATGCTCCACACATATACACATACCATACATACACATACACACATACACCAATAATGATAATAACAGAATAACAATAGCATTTTTTTAAAGAACCAAGGAGAAATCTGGGCTTAGTAGCATGTCTATAATAACAGTACTGAAGGGGTTGAAAGAGGAGAATTATTTGGGAGTTTAAGACCTATATGGTCAAGTGTAGGTCAACCTAGGCTATAGTGGGACCCTGTCTCAAAAGCACAAAACAGCCCTCAGGAAGCAGGTGCAGATGGATCTCTATGAGTTCAAGACCAGCCTGGTCTACAAAGGATGTTCCAGGACAGATGGGGATACACAGAGATTCCCTGTCTCAAAAACAATAAGTAAATAAATAACATTTAAAATATTTGCCTATATCATAATACTAGGAACAAATTTATTGCAAGCTGCCGCAGGATGATTGCATTTAACTTTATTTTTTTTCTTTTGCTGACTCTGTGGCATCCTTAACCCTAGTTCCTCTAACACACATATCTCTTGAAAAAGACAGAGGGCTACAGAGAATGACAGACATGTAGTCCTAAGTCTCCAGCCTGAAGCCCTTCTCTAGGGCAAACCTCCTCCTGTGGCTGACACCTGACTACACATGGCTCCACCTGTGTGAAATTCTAGTAAAGATCAGTGATCGTGGTTCTCGTACAATTAACATTTTGACCACATGGTGGCGCTATTGAAGCTTTGTCGTGCATAGCCACATGGACATTGCCCTTGAGTTTTTGGTGGTCCAGACTTGCTTCCCTCTCTCACCTTCCTAATGAAACATCTCAGAAATCTGCATGCAGTCTTCACATGAAGCCATGACAATCTTCACCATGCAGTTCGATTTTTTTTTAAAAAAATGTGCATGGGTATTTTACCTGCATGCATGTACGTATGTATAACCACTTGCCTGCCTGGTGTCCATGGAGGCCAAAAGAGGGTGCTCAACTGAATAACGAGTCTGCATCCATCTTAGGCTTAAAAGTCATCTTATAGTAAAGACAAATTAAGCTCATTACTGTTTATGATTACAGGATTGGGCTAGGCCCCACCTGTAACCTTAACTACAGATGGTTCTGTACTGCCTATTCCAGGAATGACAATTATGTCTCTGTTTAAAAAGTTAATAACCATCTGGCAACCTTACCTTTGTTTCAGAAGGGTTGCTATGGCTACCTTTCTAGGACTACCTGTTGTTATGACCCCCTCACTATGACCACCTTGTAACCATGCCTTTGTTTCAGGAGGTCATTATGATTGACTTGTTATGCTTAGTTCTGCTTCTGTTACCCCGCCTATTTTGCCTGCCAAATTCCCCATTTAGAAACCCACTGCCTCTGAGCTAGAAAAACCTTGTCTTCCACACAGCGAATGTGGACCCTCTCAGGCCTCATCGTAGTGGGAAGCAGCCTGTGTACTCAAAAGAAAAAAAGAACTAAAATAAATAGATAGATAGATAGATAGATAGATAGATAGATAAAAAAGCTAGCTTTAATTAATTGTTCATCTTAATCTGATTTGGGTGGTAGTCTTGACGATTTAGGTCAGTGGTCTTTATCCTCCCATCTTTGATATTAGCAGGATCCCCTGTGGGTGCCGGGAGTCAAGCCTGGGTCCTATAGAAAAGCAATCAGTGGTTTCAACCACTAAGTCATCTCTTCATCCCCTACTTCTGATATTTCTATAGGTTGCTGAAAATAACAGTGATCTGGTATCATAAGTTGCCCGATTATGGATTTAAACTTGATTCCTGGACCAAGGTATGGCTCAGTAGCAGAGCACTTGTCTAGAACACAAACACAAAAAGCTAGGGCTGGAGAGATGGCTCAGAGGTTAAGAGCACTGGCTGCTCTTCCAGAGGTCCTGAGCTCAATTCCCAGCAACCACATGGTGGCTCATAGCTATTCATAATGAGATCTGGTGCCCTCTTCTGGCCTACAGACATACATGCAGGCAGAACACTAGATAGATAATAATAAATAAATCTTAAAAAACACAAAAGGCTGAAGTTCCATCCCAATAGCAACAAACATCCTTGCAAAGTTCACCTTTCACCAGCTGAGTTGCTATTTCTATTACAATACCTTCAGCTTCTGCTGAGACTCTCAAATCCTCCAGACTTCCAGGTCAGAAACATCCTGGTGTTCGTCAATATTTAGGGTCTTGTTCTAAGCTGTGGTTGGTAGCCATAATAGTATAACCACGTAACGTGAAGTAAGCTCAGAGTTATTTAATTTTAGGATGCAGTTTGACAGACTTGTGCCATTATCTTTGGGTTTGACTGTGAGGGTGTCTCAGAAAAGACCAACATGAGAATAGGAATAACCAGTGTCAAAGATGTGTCCTTGGTAAAGA